TTTTTTTCATTTTTTTAATATCGCAACTTATATCGCGATTATTCGAAGAAATAATTTCTCGTTCAGATTTTTTCAAATATTATTTTTATTTCTTAGTTCACCAAACGCGACATTTCAATAACATCGATGATATTTATCTTCTTTCCTTTTCTATCTTATCTTATATTTACTAATATAAACTTCGACCTATGTGATTTATGAGTATGATCGATAATAATTACGAATTTTGATTTGAGTTCACTCATTATGTCTTCTAACGACTATCAATAAATCAAATCACTGATTTATATACAGTTAGACACAGAAATAACGCGTGTTGGTAATGCAATTTTTTTTTTTACAAATATTGCAACTACTTTTTGTGCTTTTTCTTTTTGTTTTTTTTTCTTTCTTATAACGCAAATATACCTCGTACAAAAATATTTATGAATTAAACCTCAATACCGCCACCGACTCGCCCCCACCCACCCCAATCCCGCCACCACCACACCAGCGACAAAACAATTAAAAATTAAATGTGCTTTGATCGAGATTTAAATATCGTAATATTCGTTTGTTAGTAATTATTTTAATGTTTCGTTATATTATTTTATTTTGTTCATGGCAAAACGATTAAATTGTAATGATAATAATTTTAATCGAATATTGTTTAATTTTTTCAACAAATGTTTAACATTATCGATAGAAATAATATTTCTTAAATCATTTTTGTTCTTTGTTATTCAGGCTGTTATTTTACATCGATTTATTTATTTTCCTTATTGACACGGTAAGAGAAGAAAAAATGACGTTATCGATAAAAAATACTATATGCATATATATACGATCGGTTTAAGCGTTCAAACAAACAAAAAAATCGATAAGTATATATTTTTTATCGTTTCAACAGAGGAAAAACACAGGATAAATAATAAAGTCAAAAGATTATCCGTTGACATTTATATTATACATTTAAATAATAATAATAAAAAAAAAACAAAGGAAAAAAAGAAGTAGACTTAATCGAATATAGGTTAGGTTTGCCTCGATTGAGATTTAAATTGTACTTTTTTGTCGTTAGTAATTTTTTTGTTTAGAATTTTGAAAAGATTATCCATTGACATTTACATNTTGTTTAGAATTTTGAAAAGATTATCCATTGACATTTACATATTATTCATTTAAATAATAATTTAAAAAAAGAAGAAGTAGATTAATCAAATATAGGTTAAGTTTGCTTCGATCGAGATTTAAATCGTACTTTTTCGTCGTTAGTAATTATTTTGTATAGAATTTTGATAAGATTATCCATTTACATTTACATTATTCATTTAAATAATAATTTAAAAAAAAAGAAGATGTAGATTATTCAAATATAGGTTAGGTTTGCTTCGATCAAGATTTAAATCGTACTTTTTTGTCGTTAGTAATTATTTTGTTTAGAATTTTGAAAAGATTATCCATTGACATTTACATAATACATCTAAATTATAAAAAAAAATAAGAAGTAGATTAATCAAATATAGGTTAGGTTTGCTTTGATCGAGATTTAAATTGTACTTTTCCATATTTAGTAATTATTTTGTTTAAAATTTTGAAAAAATTATCCATTGACATTTACATTATTCATTTAAATCATAATTAAAAAAAAAAGAAGTAGATTAATCAATTATAGGTTAGGTTCTCTTCGATCGAGATTTAAATCGTACTTTTTCGTCATTAGTAGTTATTTTGTATAAAATTTTGAACACTAATCAAGAATAGTTTGCCAAATAAAAAAAAAGTAAAAAAGAAAAAGAAAGAAAAAAAGAAAGAAAGAAGTAGAAACCTTCTTAATATTTATATATTTGTAAAAATGAAAAATAAAAGACAAATTGTCATTCACCGCGAATTCGTACAACGCGTAACAAATTAATCGCGTTATACGTTAAGGAGTCTTACCGTAAACTTAAATCTTGTTCTCCCTAAGCTGATATTTTGCATCGATTTGTTTCTTTTTTTTTGTTTCTTTCTTCTTGACACGACAATAGGATCAAAAAAAATAACGTTATTATCTATTAAGCGTGACAATGTATACGGTGTCTTGTTATATTTGATTCGTTGCATCAAAATTGTCAAAATTGTTTCTTTTTTTTTTGTTTTTATTTGTTTTTTCAACAAGACAATTTTGTTCGCAAAACCTAATCGAACTCGTCGAAAATAATGATCGAAAAAAATGTCGAAAAATAATACGCGTATGATAACTTTTTAAATATATGTATATTAAATTTGTTTTCAAAATACACCGAATTAATTGCTACACCTAATATATATATATATATATATATGTTAAATCGGAGAATGTGAATATTCACGTGTTGATACCTTGGTATAATGTATACGAAAGTATTTTTATTATACATTTAAATTAAACGTTTTATAAAATGTATTAAGTAATATATGAATTCACGAAAAACGAATGATTTAAATACCGTAATTTTGATCCGCATTTAAAAAAAAATCTGCTTTATACTTTCTGCAACAATGATGTTCAAAGTTATCCGTTCTTATCTTCTTCCTGTACTTTGAAAACTATTATACTGTTTTAATCGTGCCATTCTACCGGATCTAATTTACGTTTCAAATATTAATCTGATACTTTTAACTACTAACATTTCGTTAATTTATACACAACCTGGTAAAAATATATAATTCTTGTTTTGTTTCATATTTTAACTGGTCAGTATAATTTTTTTATATTTTTTATATTTTTTGATGATTTTATGATAACATATATATAATTAACACTATTATTACTATCACGTTTTTGTGTCTACTTATTCCGAATTTTTAAGAACTTTTGCGTTTGAATTTAAATATCTTGAAAATAATTGTTAATAATTGATTTCTATTTAATTTTTTATTTATTATCTTAATATATACAAAATAATTATTTAAACAAACATTATACGAATAAAATGTATCGAGGCTAAAATGATTCAATTAAAATAATAATAATTTTAATCGAAAATTTCGAAAGATGTTTATTTAATATTATCGATAGAAATAATATTTGAAAATCATTTTCTCTGTTACTCACAGAATGTTATTTTACATCGATTTATTTATTTTCCTTCTTGACACGGCAAGAAAAAAAAAATGACATTATCGATAAAAAAATATTACATCCATATACATATATATATATGGTCGATTTAAACGTTTGAAAAGAAATAAATCGATAAGTATATATTTTTTATCGTTTCAGCAGAGGAAAAACACAGGATAAACAATAAAGTCAAAAGATTATCCGTTGACATTTACATTATACATCTAAATAATAATTTAAGAAAAAAAGATGAAGTAGATTAATCAAATATAGGTTAGGTTTGCTTCGATTGAGATTTAAATCGTACTTTGTTGTTAGTAATTATTTTGTTTAGAA